TGTCAATAATGGAAAGGCAGTATACCCTATCTGTCCCCAAATTTATTCAGCACAGAGTTTCCCATAGAAATCAATACTTTTTAACAAAACTAAAATGCAAGACCTATCGTGTAAAATAAATAGATCCTACCCAAAATGCTTAACTTCTTTAGAGCTGCCACCTTGGATCTACTACAGCTGCAGAATAGGAATTACACGACTTTTCCATTTGGTCAAACCTCTTCTCAAGTCACTTGTCCTAGAATCTGAAAATCAACTGCATTTCTGAATAGGCATAATTATTGACAAAATATTGCTGTTAAATATCCATTTAATACTAACCTACGTAAATTTACAGTAAGATAGTGATGAAAATTAAAATATAGAGCCCAAGCTGGTATTCAGTAGCACTTTCCTACATTAGAGTTACAGGATCAGGCCCCTAGTGCTTGATAACATTTAAACACACTTGTTTATACCACTAAGCCATCAGTTCCAGGCATCATGGCTGGCTTTCAGTGTTTGTCAAAACTGGGTTTTAGAGCTACACTTCAAAGCTCTAAGCCCAAAGTATGAAATACATGTTCCCATTGAATTAAAGCTAATGCCTAGACATTTGTGATCACTGAGTGGATAGATTAAAAAAATCCACAACGTTTTTAATCTCCAAAACTAGTAATTTACTTCCACACATTCACAGTATATACACAAAATCACAACAGATACAATCCGACTTTTTTTTTTTTTTTAAAGAACATCAATGTAATGAGTTTTGCAACTCAGGGAAGCTAACTTTCCTTAAGAAAGAAGCTGTGTAAACCTGCACATCCCTAGAGAAATAATGTGTTGGAAGGACATCTACCTGCAATACTCTGTGTTCAAAGGTATGATATGAATGTTGCAAGTATTGGACCTGCCAGAGAGGATGCTGTGGAGTGAGACCCTTGCTGCAGTCTGGAGAGATATGGGAGAGCAGAATCTGACCTCCTCTAAAGACAGGAAGAAGTCACCCTCACTCCTAACTGACTAGAGGGAGGGCTCCCACCATCCTGAATGAGGGCAGGGAACAATCCATCTGTCTGTATTTTATGGAAGTTATGAATAAGAAAACACTTTCTGAAAAAATCAGTGAATCATCCTGATTTTAGAAAATGCCAACACATTTTCAAAAACCACAAAAAACCAGGCTGAGTTACTTTCTATTGTAATCATTTTTACCTAATAGCCTAAGAGATCAGTATTGTAAGTTAAAAGGGACAATAAAAAGCCAAGACAGGTAACTGATAAAACAACTAACAGATGTTCTCAACAACTCAGTTTTATAACAGAGAGAGAGGATATCTGTGTAAAAGGGGAAAGGGAACCTTTGATGTACAATCTTATAAGTACTATAAAATTGAAAAACCTACAGCTTTGCCTGGTGAACAATCCTCACTGTCAGAGTGAGGGGGGATCTATATGAAATTCCTGAGAGCAGTTTCTCTGTTGGCCTGTTCATTCCTTAGGATCCCTAGTGGATCCTGGACAAGGTGGATTCAGACTCCACAGGACCTAGGTAACATCAGTACCTTTGGGGTCAAACTTGTTTGGGTAGAAGTGACTCCACAAAATGCAAAGCACTGTAGAATCAGACCCCTGGTCTTTCCCTTTCCCCCAGAAGATAAAAAAGTATAAGAACATCATTAAGACACGATCACCTCATACACAGGCCTGTTCCAGCAACCCTAATACAGCAAGGTCTCCCTGTGAAACACAGACTCAAGCCCAGTCTCAGGTCAGGACTCACTTACCCTTAGCATCATCTACAGTCCGACACATGCAGAGGCACAGAAGTTCCAGCCCACCACCACCACCACTCAGACAAAAAAGATAAGCACTTTCTGCACCTTACTGTGGGCTCAAGCACAAGTCTAAGAAGTCTGGACACAGAAGCAGCCAACTACACTACAGCACAAGCCAGCAAATCCCCTGAGGTCAGCTCTTTCTATCTCAGTATGGACACATCACACCTCAGCTACGGCTAAGTGATACCTAGCAAGGCAGAGAGCACACAGGCAGATCAAAGGCTCTGTGTGTTTAGGGCCTCGTTCAAACCTCCTCATTACCTTGTAGCAAAGACACAATCAGGATGTGGGTGCAAGACAACCGCAGGGCTGGTTTTAAAGGACTGCTACCCGACAAAAGTCTTTTTTAAAAAAACAGGAGGGAAAGGAAAAAAACGAGTGGCGTCAAATACTCAGCTGACACAAACTCTCACAGCCCCAGGAACTAGAGCAACTTATGCCAGCCAAACTCCTGCCCCTATGATCTGATTCATTCCTCACCAGCAGGCTTCCACAGGAAACAAAGATAGCAGAAGTTACAAACAGCTGGTATTTCAGCCACAGCAGTTGTCTCCAGAATGTCAACAACTACAGTACCTGGTGCTTTCTTCCTGAGCTCCCTCTCTAACCTTAATCTGCAATTAAAGTCAATGCTGACTGGGGTTTGTGTGGTTTTTCTTAATGAAAAGTACTCCCCTGTTTTGCTTGAGTAATATGTTTTTCAGACATGAAATATGTTCTTCGGACATGAAGTTCTCTGAGCCGGGCGCTCAAAAATAGTGACTAGGAGTTACAAAACTGCTTAAACTGCTTCTAAATTATGTATCCTTGTGACATATGCATCTTCATAGCCTAATGCTGTCCATGGGTAGGTAAGCATGCACCTCTAGAGAAAGAAGGAGGAATGCTAAGATGCTTGGGCATAGCAATTAAACATTCAGGATCATTCTGTCTCAACTGCAAAGTGAATGCACAGTTTATGTGTTTTATGACCTGTCAATCAGAAAAGAAGAGGGAGGCTGAAGACAAGACATGACCATCCAAAGATGGACTTCCTTTTCTTTTGTCAAAGACTGTAGAAGGCCTCTCCAGCAAGTCTTACAGCAGCTTCAACGTAAGAACACCTGTCTCTCCACAACAAAATTTCAATGCCTATTTTTAAGCCTAGACAGCACAGCCAATATCTCTATGTCTGGCCTCCCTTAAGATGGCAGACACAACTGACAACAATCTGAGCTAGCACAAAACCCTCTCTAAAGCAATGGGCCTTCTAGCCGTGTAGTTAGCAGGAAAAGGGGGAAAAAACCCAAACCAACCCACAGATCATTTTGAAAAGAACATCAGTGGATTGTCACATCCTAACCTGAACTGGTCCAGTGTTTAATAGATAAACATCCATGAGGACAACTACAGCCAAGAAAGAAGTTTAAAGAATCTGTAAGAAGGCCAAAGCTAATCAAAGACACACAGAAAATCCCACCTTTGTTCTGTGCCTTTTTTGCTGAAAGAATGTGAGACAAAAACAGATGTGTGACAAAAGTTTCCAACAAGGCTCCAGTCAATGGTTGAGTGTTACTAACAAGGCTACTGAGCTTCCATTTGCATGGCGGTGACATTTTCTGCATTCCTTCACACTCATTTATTTCAGAGTAAATTCATTGATTTGCATGGAATTGCTCTGGAAATTAGTATAACTGAGAGCAGGTCTGCTTGCACTTAATGGATGGTTCTTTCCTCTCCTATATAGCCTGAAAGGAAACCCTTCAACAGAAATAAAAGGGAATTACGGATGAAACACAATTTTATGGGTGATGAAGGTGAGTAAAAACATTGAATGAGATGTATAACCAGGATTAAAGGCTTGAGCAGAGAGAGAGAACTAAATGGAAGAACCACATCTGTATGTTCCATCTTGCCAATATGCCAAGATTTTATCTGGAGTCAGACTGTGTCCAGAGCCATTTAGGAAAAGAGTCTGCAATGCAGTATTTCAGGGACAAAAAAGGAAAACATACAGTGTCTGAACATACAGTCTTTCTCTAGCGCTGTAGAAGAACTGCAGCCAGCTGTAGCATGCCTTCATGTGCACAGCATTGCAGGAAAGACTTCCAGGGGTTTTCAGTGAAGTGTACTGGCAGTGATGGAGGAAAGATCAAGAGAACCAAGCACAAGACTTCTTGGCTCGTAGATGACAATGACAGTCTGCACTTTTCCAGAGTGTGTGAACCCCAAAGAAGAAAAAAGTTATGAAGGATGGCACACTCACGCAGTGCATCTGTAGGCATGACTGAGCAAAATGATGCTTAGGAAAACTCAGGGCTGGGAAAAGGCCTCCCAGAGAAAATACAAAATAATTGTTGTTTCAAACAAGACAGCTCATCCTCTTTGGTGCTGCGGGCCAGCTGGCAGTGCAGTGACACTTAAACCAGCCACATATTAAAACAGAATTTGCCATCAGCCAGTCTCCTGGACCCTCAGCCCACATGACTGTCACACCTCCCTTCCACACGCACAGGGAAACTAAACTGCTAAGTTTCAGCACCTTCCTGGCATTTCGTTCTTCAACCCAGTTCTAAGGCATGGTCGAAAAGGCAGTGGGACATACAGTATTGTCCTGGGGTTGTCAGACAGGCACTCTGGTCTGAGTTAAAAATATTAATATTAGAATATTAATAGAATATTCTTAGAATATTAGAATAGTTAGAATATTCTTTATTCTAAACTGACAAACACATGCAGAGGATGGCCTCATCTGGACTTCTTCCATCTGGTGCTTCTGCAGTTGTGGAACCAGTAACATCTCACTCGCCCTTTAAGTGAAGTGCTAAGAAGACTAATAAACACTTGTGCCACGTATGAGCCATCATAATCGCTGTGCCCAGGCAAATGCTATCTACACTTGCTCGGGATGTTCAGCACAAGGGACGCTGAGGCTTAGATCCAGATTTGAAAGTTCAGTTCCAAACAAGCAAAGGAGCAGCAGCACCAACACAGTAACCACAAGTCATGAAGGCTGCAGCTCTGTTCAAAAAGGTTCCTTTTTAGCTGACCATCTTAATGTTTCCTGCAATACATTCCTGTAGGTGGGTTTATGTGTGAATAAAGAACCTTGAAAGATCAATGAGACGTTCCATAAATTATTTCGAACCTGAATAATGAATTACACACTGGAATAACAGTCTTTGCTGCTTCTCTCACCTCCATCCTGAAACTTGCTCAACCTTTCGAAGTATGATGATATAGGAACTTGAACAATATCTAGAATTGCCAGCAGCGTCCGGGTCAGTCTGAGAAGCTCACTAAAACTATAAAAGCCAAAGTATATGAGGTTTCGAGCCAGATGTACCACCTATGAGAAAAAGAAATTAAAAATGAAGGAAGTATCGGCAACCTTCGTGGTATTCGGCTGTGCAATACAGTTGCATTTCACACAGCAGCTTTCACAGAGATCCAGATCTAGAGTGCATTCAAATTAGTACAAGTCTTTCCACTGATTTAAACGGGCCTTGGACTAAGGCCAGTGACATCAACATTTTTCAGAGTTAGACAAAACAATTGGTCAGTCAAATTACAACAGAGAGCAAAACCAACATGAGATTTAGGAAGGCTTGAAAGGATACAATTGCTTCTGGGAAAATATATAAGACCAATAAGACAGACTCCAGGAAATTGTTTAAAGAGGCAGCAGCTGTGGGGAAGATGGAAGTCAGAAGAAGAGTAAGACGATCGTGGTAAGTTTGAACAGAGGTAATTTCAGATGACCAGAGGCAGGAGCAACAAAGCTTGGGAGGTAGATTGGAGGAAAAACTATAAAAGCTGTAAGCATTTCCCCTTTATTCAATGTTATTTGAATCTAGAAGATTTAAGCCTATCTAAAGTTTCTGTTAGGAATTTCAAACAATTTAAAACACAGGATTAGGTTATTCAGAGTATTTTCTTCAGTGTCATATCTTACACAGGGAATAGTACTTACTTATATGGAAGAATCCCTGCATGCTAATTCACTAATGGGAAGAAAAAGGCCATATGGCCACTCACCCACACACATCTCCCTCCTCCTGCCACTGAAATGCAACCATCTTAGAAGAAGGAAGGAAAAAATACAGCTGTTTAACAGCAGACAGTAATATTATTTTCTGCAGTAACAATCATCACCAAGAACACTGGAATTAGGAACTGATGCTTCTTTATGACATTTTACACCAACATTTATTCTGCAACTACCTTTATTTTGAAAGAACCAATGTCAACCTATCTGAAATGAGGAGGAATACTGTAAGTAGGGCGCAGATAGCTGAGAAGTACCTCAAATGTAAGTTTATTTTTCTCTTTGTCTCCAAAAGGAAAGGGCTGATTTACAACTTCTTTCAAGTACTCTTCTACAAATTCCATGGTTAGCGCAAACTTCCTCTTCATTTCATTCCTCGAAGAGTCTGTGAAAGAATCATACCTACAATGCAAGGCACAGAAGGAAGGAAAATTAAACACCTCTAATATCAGGGTCAGCTGTCACTAAAGAAAAAACAAACCAATCACAATGCTATGAAATTACTGTCAGTTCTCTGTAAGGAGAAAGGGTAGAGGTCAGCTGATTTTCATAGATACGCGAAGAGAAAGCACAAACCTTCCCTCCAACAGTACCAGGAAGGGTTGCAGTGAACAGGAATAACAGAGACAGGAAAATACTACAGTTCTGGCAGATAGCACTCTTAAATCTTGCTGTGGCAATTCAGTAAGTCACTAAGTCTCAGCTGTCCTCCCTGCCCATCAGCCAGAGTTTACTGTTTCCATAACGAAGCAGCAGATCAGGAAAGCAGCTCGGGACAGTCAGCTTCCTCCTTGCGCTACCAACTAGGACTGATTTTTCGTATATGTCAAAACAGTCCTTCATCACACTAGCAGAAGCAAAACTGCCTGCTGCACTGCTATACTTCTTCCCCTGTTTCTTCAGCCAGATACTCCCTGTCTGGGTCTAGCCCAGTGGCGCTGCTCCATCAAATCAATTAAGCCAGAGAGGGTTTCCACTGAAGTCAATGGGCCCTTCTCCCACACTTAAATTTAACACACGCTTAAGTACTTTTCCGGATGGAGGCCAAAGCCTCTGTGAACTGTTTCTGGGGCAATAGCTGTATCTAACTGTAAATTCTGGCTTTCCGACTGTGGCTTTCAGTTGAGCTTGAAGTATAAAACTGAGTTCTAGCCTAGCAAACCTGCAATGTTAGACACAATTGGTTTACTTCAAGTTCAGTTGGTCTGAGGAAAGGCCATTCCATTTTTCCCCAGCTTGCTCCCTATAAGAACACAGTGAAAAATGAAATTGAAATATTTCCATGTAAAGCTACCCATAGAAGTTTCCAAGAGTAGCAATAATTAATAGCTCTGTGCTCTGCAACAAAATACCTTTTCACATACATGTTGTGTCGACATTAGACATCTACAGCCATTTTGTTCTGAGACTAACCACTACAAAATGCTTTTGTACTTTAGTTTGAAACACTTTCAACTCACTCATGAATTGTGATCTTAGTAGGAATTTCAGTCCACAATCTGGCGTATCTGACAGGTACCACAGATTCCTGAGGATCTCTGTCCACATGCATGTGTAGCATTAGCCGACAAAAAGAAGCCCGGAGGTCATAAGGGAGGCTTTCATCAGACATACATCGTAGGATCAAGTCTACCGACAGCTGTGCAGAAATCTGGTTGATGGCGAGATATTGGCGGTCCAGGCACATTCTTGCAAAGAGGTTCAGTTGGTACCTTAAAAAAAGTTAACAACATATAGTATTCAAATAAATCAGATGGAAATGAAATAACATACCTCAGAATCTCACTTTACAAGCCTGATGTCAGCCTTTCTGATACAAATCCTAAAAAATAACAAAAGTGACTTTGCTAAGCAAGGGATCAACTTGCCATTAAAAATGCTAACATCAGGCTCCAGCCCCCGTGAAGACTGAGCTCCCTTTGAAGCTCAAAGGAAGTGTTCAATGGAAGGCTGAAGCATTTGGACTATTTGTTTTCAATCAGTGTAAGATACTGTTCCATGATCCCATTTCCCCTCTAATCCTCAGGACACTCCTTCCTCAGAGCATGCCTTGCTTCGATGGCAGCACAACTTAAAAATAAAGTCCAATAAATAAAAGGTAAGAGGCAAAATGAAAAAGAGACACAAAGAGCTGTCATGAGCAAAGGAAACTCAAGATTTGTCTCGAATAGACAGCAGAGATTGTGACGCTTCCTACAGGAAAAACTTGAAACAAACTTTTAATCGGTTTCTGGCATGACCTGGTTTCCTTTTTTGATATTGGCAAACAAAGTGGATAAGAACAGCACCAGGCTCTTCAGAGAGTTTACATTTTCTTCCATTTGAATAAGCAGTCTTACCTGTAGTAGGTAAGAACTTCTAAATCAGCTTTTGTGCCCTCCTTCGCCTCCTGAGCCAGATGCCTGATGGCTTTGCCATGAGGCTCCTTGTTACTGTCAATCCAGTAAAGCCACACTTCCTCTTCATCAATGTCATCTGAGATGACTGGGCATTCCAATGGATTGTCCATTTGTGTCGAAACTAGCCTGCAAACACAAACCATTCACAATGGAGCCACTAGCAAACTGCTACAAATACAACAATAAAGCAGATAATAAAAAGGTATGTTTCTATTATGGATGCTCACTTGGTCTGAATGAGAATGTCAGCATTCCCTGGGCTCAGCATAAACTTGCAGATGAGTTCCTGAGTTACTGGTATCGCTGTGGTGTTCGATACGCACAGGTCCGATAGATAATCCAAGAATCTGCAGTCAAAAAAACACAGATGCAACAGAACATGAGACTCAAAATACTGCACAGAAACACTGCAGTACAAATCTCTAGCATCCATCACTGATATGCTCAAGGGGGCATATATTCCGAGATTATCAACATGAATTTGCCAATTCATACTATTGCAACTCACAATAGATAAAGATGAGTAATAGCTTTGAGAGCCACCCTGAATGGTGCTGAACAATCAGTCAGGGAGAGAAAAGAAGAATATCCCACGTGTGACACTTCTCATCAAATCAAAAGCCAAAGAGTTGTGCCAGAACTTAAGAGCAGCCTGAGGTTGTCTTAAGTTTGGCTGGCAGGGGAGCTCCACTGAAGGCCCTCGTCCTTGTCAGGAACCAAAAGCAAGAGTACACATTCTCACCCATCTTCCCCATCAGGTGACACTCGTCTCCCTAACCCAAGTAGCAAGGAGATGTTACTCATGCTGGAGATAGCTGTGTGCCCTCTGAGGAACTCCACTGCACTGGAGGAGTCCACACCTCCACCTTTTAAAGATGCCTTTTAAAATCTCTGAAGTGACTCAGCCAACAATTAGTGAAGAGTGAAGATCTGGCAGGACCTGAAGACAGGACCTCTGTATTCAAGGAGGGCATTCCACGTAAAGCAGAAATAACAAAGCTTTGCATGGAAATCAGTTTCCTATGAATTTGTCTCTCAAATTTAGGTCTTCTGATGTTTAACGAGGTTCAGGCTGAGGCTTTCCTCGCAGTTGGGACATTCACTAGGTATCTGCTTCTTGTCCCTCTTTCATGGATTCCTCTGTGCGTATTAACAGTAGTCCATATAGCAGCCTTTGCCTCACCGGAATATAAAAAGGGCCTCTTCCCTCTATGTAGCTTCTTCTTTTCAAGACATTCGTAGGAACTGAGTATCTCTGAGCCCACCACTCCTCTAGCAAATGTAGCTAAAACTGGGTAAGAGGCTCAAGAGCTGGTGGGGGAGAAGATATGAGCAGGCACACACACACAGATCATATACTCCACTTCCTTAGAAATCCAGGTAAAAAATTTGACCATCTAATATCAGCTGTTCAAGGATCCAATAGTTTGAACCTCTATAGGTGATCATCCTACCAGAGGGAATCAGAAAATCATTTCTGTGTTAGCACAGACCGAACTCCCCACAGAAGCCTGGGAACTGCAAGGGATGAGTACAGAAAGCATTCTTAGGGTACATTTAGGAACAATTTTACCCATCGCTAAAATGAAGCTTTGTGGCAACAGGTAACTAACAGTGCACAGCAATATTGCATCACAAAGATAATATTAAGTAAACAGCACATAATTACATAGAATTCTGGAGGAGTTACCTAGTTGGAGCTAAAACTCAGGAAGGTTTTAAATTTTGTAGCTCATGTGTTTTAGAGAATACTGCCACAGTTCTTACTCACACGAGCAGTGCTGCAAAAGTCCATGAGACTCTCCCTGAAAATAAGTGCCATAAGATCAAGCCTTTACTGTTCAGATTGCACCATCCTGGCAAGGTGTATTTTTCAAACATTTATTGCTCTTGGACTTCAGCCTTGAAGAAGGTGAATACACAGCAGTTGCACAACGTAGTTATGCAACAAATACTGTGACATTCTCCACCACAAAAAAAAGTGACATGAGATTGTCAATAAACACTAGGACCCTTCAGCACTGAGAAGGAGCTGATGTCATGTGGTTTCCTCTTAGTACTGGCCAAACCCAATACCGTTTAGCATGGGAGAGGCAATGAGATTACAGAGTGAGGCAAAACGGCTGCATACATATAGAGAATAATTAAAGCAGTGAAGCACCAGGGCCTTGAGCAATATCCTTAATCGCTAACAGAAAAACAGTATTCACAATTACAGAGGACATTATTTGGCCTTCAGTACATCAATTTCTTATATTTGTATTACTTCGGTAATTTTACAACTGAAAATCCAATGAAAAAAATAAGATAGATTTTCCATTAAAAAAATCCATTTCCTTCATATTCTGACCTAAAGCTAATAAAAAAAATTTCCGACTGAGTGAAGTTTAAGGCCAGAATTTTTCATTTGGAACAAGATCTGGTCTAAAACACATGTTCACGGGGATCTTCACTGTCCTAAGCCCTTTTCTTCAGGTCTGACCTGGAACCAGGACCTGCAGGAAAACTGATATTAATAAAAGTGTAAAAAAATTGACATCTGTGTAATTTGCACCAAGATTATTAGCAGGGGAACCAACACAAGTGGCATTTTCATAGAGCAGCTGCAGAGTTATGAGAAATAAAAATTTCTCTTTGTTTCTCTCTGTCCCAATCTGAACTAAAAGCAAATTTTCAAAAGTGTTCTGTAACGCATAAACCTTGCTTTTCAGTAAGCTCTAGTTCTGAAATGCAGATATGGTCAAATCCCATTACAGGTATTTCTGGTATTTTCTAGCATGACACTACATGTGGTTTTTTGTCTGCCAGGTCAAAAAAAATTAAGCTGGGAGAAAGAGACAACAAAACAATGAATAGCAACTTCATAGCTACTGCAAATATAAAAGCCTATCAATACAGAAAAAGAATGTTACATGGACCACTTCAAACCTTGGCTCTCGATTTCTCCTGAGTAAATTAACAAACGTCTCTATTTCTTTAGCCGTGATATGTTTCTCTAGCAGTTTTCTGTTGTTGTGCAGCAAAGCTGTGATGGTGTCTTCTGCCAGAATATCATAGCCAATCTGGGACTGCATGACACAGAAGTTCTTAGCAATATATTCCTGAAAAAATGAAAATTCCCATGATGACCTGTTAAGCAGTAATGTTTTTATTTTAGAACCAGAAGCATCCAGCTCAATTAGTAATCAAAATAACCCTCAAAACTTTCCTCTCTGAACTGGCCTAAACAAAGGAACATCTGAATACCTAAAATACATATGCCAAGAAACAGATTCAATATTAGGGGTGACTAACTCTTCTTATTCTTTCATAAACCAAAGGAATGAATCCACGACAATATATACAAAATTCAAGAAATGCCAACCATTTTTTTTAAAAGGAAAAACCAAAAGATTTTTATAACATTTAAGAAGCTTTCTTTCCTGAGTCTTCCCTCCTCCCTTTCTCTCCTTACAAGACAGAAATATTTGTGTAAAGCATTAGAAAGAAAACAAAGAAGCCACACATAGCAGTTCAATCTTTTATCTCTAGTCCCTTTAGTCCTATAAAGTTAGTGCAGTTTTTCCCTGCTGCAATGTGCAAAGCACTCCACACCATGTTCTGAAGTACTTCTTGCTCAGGGGGAGTCTCCAGCAGTGGGAAATCCGGCTACCTGATAGAATCTGGTCTGATTCACTGCCATCCCTCTACAAATATTTAAGCAACAGAAACAGACAGCGTTGCAGACTTCCCACGTTATAATCCAGAGTCCAAGAGCATAATTTTATTAATAGAAAGCTCATGAATGAAGCAGTGGACCCCAATCTCAGTCTGAGGCTGTGAAAGTATAAGGCGAACCTATGATATTCATTGCTGATCATTCAATTCATACACAAATGCCTACAAAACAAAAACACTGTTCCTCAGCACGAGGTAGTATATGACAGTGACTTCTTACTACTAACCTACACAAAAACCCAGTCCTTTCACCATTACCACAGAATCCCACTTGTAAGTGCAGAGAGCAATGCCAAACCCAGGATATATAATTATAGAAATTGGGAGAAAAATTATCTTGAATACCACTGACCTGGTTCTTCCTATAGTCCTGTTGGGAATGTCTGAGAACTCTGTAACATAACCTTAACATGTATTTGTATGGAGCATATCTCTGGTCACCTAGGTCTTCAAGTCTCAGCATCGATCCTTCACCTTTGTCTTTAAAAGGAGCTTTGAGGATGCCGAATATCTGTTCAAAATCAAAAACACTGAGAATGAAAATCTGATTTTTGCTTAACTTACAGCAGTCAATGGAAGCGTCCTACATATGACTAAATACAAGTGGGGGCACAGTCTCAGACATTAGAGCTTTATGCGTTTCGCTTTACGTTTCCCACCAACTTGATTGACACTGCTTTCTCTTTACTGCTATCCCCAATTTTAAACATTGTTAGTTAAGTGGCTTTTCTGTGGATAAATTAAGGATGAAGAAGGAGGATAATATTGGCTGCTGTCCAATTTCACCCTTGTCACTTTTTTTTTTTTTTTATTTCAGTAGGCTACTTAAAGAGAATATTAGTTTTGATTTACATGCAAGTTGGCCCTCGTGCAAACAAAGTCAGGGATCCATAAGGGCATCAGAATTTTTCCTATATGGGGAACACTTGGAGGATTGGGACCATGTTGCAAGCTTGTTTCAAATTTCAATTTGCTATCAAATGTAGTCTTAAAAGTCATTGGAATCACACGAAACTAACAGCCATGAGACACGGCCCCTCGTGCTTCTGTCTGATTCACAGACCAAGAGGTGAGCCTTGACGAAGTAGTGTCGTGTCTATCCAATCCAACCAGACACAAACCCAATGTGGCATAAGCCAAGTTACCTAAAAATAACATTTTCTCAAATCACTCTCTCCTACAATCTGCTTGTAAATACAAGCAAGTTATTAATACAGTAGGACATACCTGAGCCAATATATTTTGTTCCCTCATTAATTTTTGTCGTTCCCGGTTTGGCTTGGTAATGACCACATCCAAAACTTCCTGCCCGTTATTAAGCACATCAGCAACAAAGAAAATGAGATCTTCCAGTAACTTGGTTACAAACCTAGAATGAATAGACAAATCATTATTATATACAGTCATTCAACACTTGCTAGGATTCATTAAGAAAGAAAATCACCTTTTAGAACAAGCTTTATCTAGCGCAATGGAACTTCAATCACTGCAAAGTTAAGTTTGACATGTACTTAAGGATTCCAGACCTTGGTTCAGCAATCACAGGGATGTTTACCAAGGCATTAAACAACCACCAGAGGGAAAAGGGGAGAAAAATACAGGATGCTGGATTGATGCAGAGGATTCAGAAATCCAAAATCTATACTAGCTGGCCTCAAGGCCCAGGAACAGTAGAAAGACACTCTTACACAGCCTAGCAAGGACTTTTATACTTCATCACGGACATGGGTCCATGAAACAAGGTGATGGACTCACTAAAGGAATAAAAACATTCTGCCACTAGACTATTTCCCTACTGACCCAAGAAACTATTGAAAAATGACTGTATTTGTTTCACTCTTTGCTACACAAAAGAAGACTTGGCAGAAGCAAGTGCTAAAAAGGACAGAGGCAGTAGTAATTCCTTCTCTCCTACCTTCAGAAAATGCAAAGAGAAAGTGGTCATTGCCTCCTTGTTACTAACATACCTCGCCAGGCATGCACAGAGAGACGTACAGGTGCCCACAGATTTCAATGAATCTCCCTTAAAAGAACTTGCAAACTTTTACAAATAAAACCCAGCACGTCTCCTACCCTGAGGAAGCATCATCTGAATTTGGACAACATCTAGTCTATAATTACTAAACCCGTAGGCATGCTACGAAAGTGGCAGGAAGATGCCCAGTAGATTTCCAAAGTCATCTCTGGGAGCCAGACACAAAGCTTCCATTACCCACAAGAGGGCTGGGCTGTTCAGCTAAACCCTCCGAGTGAGCTTTAGCTTTAAAAGTCTCAGCCCACTGGTGGAGAACAGGAAGGTCCCCTCCAACAGAAAAAGTAGAAAAGGCAGATGTAGGATGGAGCAACCAGGAATAAACTATTGGGACCCCTACTTACCTAAACAGGAAGGTGATAAGACAGGTAAAAGAGGATTTTTTTTCCCCAAAGGAAATCAAAGGAACAAACAAATAATGGCACTACTCCGAAACCACTCTGAAATGTTTTACATGTGTATTGTACCAATCTGTCAACATCAAGACTTGACAATACTGGGTTGCAGTGACACAGTAGTGCAAGGTTAATACAGGGATGGCACACCTTGATTATGCTGTATCCCTCTCTGGTTCAACACAATCATGAAATGGCCCATCAGCTTTTCAGGCTGAGTACCAATGTCCAGGCCATTACAGATCCGCCTGTTACGATAAATGCTCCACCTGATATTAAACCATCTGGTCTAATTGCTACTGAAAACCGACAGCAAAAATTCAGTTTTATCACCAAAAATTAACATTTTCAGCAAAAAGCTGTATATGATGCATGGTGGAAGAGAAGTTACAAATTAACACTGCCAGCCGTGCTGTCTAATATTCAGTTTAACCACAGACAGCTGAAAACAAATAGCGAACTACATCACTGGCAGTGGGATATATTTGGCTACAATGTACAACAAAATCCCTTAATTCAGGGGCGGGTGTGAAGAACAGACATTCTAATAGCGCTACAGCTGAAACATGGATGAATATAAAGGGTAAACACCAAAATTATGTAAAACAAGAAAAGAGAACAGGGAAAAATAGAAATAAGAAAAGAAAGGGACTATTGGGGCAGCATCTCGGTCACTATGAAACCTCTTTCTACTGCTCTCGCAGCATGAATGTGCGGTACAGCGAACACCACACGAATCGAGAGTCCTGCCATGCTGCCCACTGTAGAGATGGCTTTCTTGTACATGAGAATCAAATGCAACAGACCCCCATATTACAGCTCAGACGTGGTTTATCAAAGGAAATGAAGACAAACACTTTGCGTTCGCCCAGGGAGCTACCCATTTATTTATGTGGCCAGTGAGCTGGGGAAGTGCTGTTTACCCCCATTTTACAGATGAGATACACAGACCAGCCTGAGGTGCAGCAAGGATGCTCTGACAGTCATGGAACCTAATCCCAGGCTAGCACGCTTAACATTGAAGAGTCCTCTCCCAATTGCCTCCATGTCCACATGGATGTTACTAACTTACACATTACTGTGATGCCACAATGTCATGAGTAACCAAACACCAATTTAGGAGGGAAAAAAATAAAACTCACTAACCTCCTTTCATTCTGCGTTATTGTTCCATTCTCCAGCTTTTTAACAGTTGATGCTAGAACCTTGTTTGCGTCATTGGCAAAGTCCAAGTCTCTGACTTCAGAAAGAGGAACCGATACAATGGCAAAAGCTTCCTTGTCCTCTTTTGTTTGGCACGTCCCAATCTGCAATAGTTTTTGGGTTAATATGGGTAAGCAATCTTCCTACCTTTATCCTAATTATTATGCATATTTTATATGTTAGAAGTGAGATCACCAGTAGAGAACTTCAGGAATGAAGATACACGTGTTCACCTTTAACATCACAGGCCTCTCTTCATCAGTGTCTATTGGAATGCTGGTACTAGTCACCCAAGTGTTAGTGCATAAATGCCTCAGTCGGACGTATGAGTTCCTAAAGGAGAACAAAGCAAACAACAGGTTAGATGGATCAGTCCTGAGCTGAAGTGGGCAAGGTGGGATGCAACGCAACACATGACCATGACAATGAGAGTTGAGGGCATGAGTCACACCAGCCGCTCATAATAAAAGGGTGAGGGAGACCTAAAAGATACTGCAGAACCCTTTTCCCTTGTCTTCTTCCTTCTTACCCAGAACAGAGATGCAACAAGAACAAACAGCATCTTGGGATTATGCAAAATGCTGTTTTTAAGTATTTATATAAGCCTAGGAGTAAAGTATTCCTTAAAGAAAAAATTAAAAAGCAAGGTGTTATAAAATCCCATCTGAATAGAAATACATTTCATGAATAAAACCAATTCTTTTCTTATTATTTTTTTTCTGCAAAGTAACAAACCCTTTCAACCTGTCACAGCACAAAAGCCAGAAAGTAAAACTGACCATGGTTTCACAGCTTCACCATTATGATCTGCAAACCCTTGTTCCAGGGAGCAAGCATTTACAGTACCAGTTCTCAACTGAAAATCAAGTGAACAAAGAGCACACATGAGTGTCTTCTAAATTCTTTCCATATGATAATCTGTGGTATTATCAAAAAGCAGAGCTGAGAAATCAATTACAATTTTTACTCTGAATTCTACTTTTTAAATATATTCACTGTGGTCTTCATTCACGCTCTCCCTTTCATGCTGATGGGCTTTGAGTATTCAAGTAAGCAAATTATCTGGCAAAACTTAGCATAGCAAATACACTTCAAAGCTGCATACATTAGTATTTGCGGGTACCCAGCTTTAAAATCCACCCTCATAACAACTAGCCCCAAGTGTCTGCATGCCCATTCAGTCACAATCAACACCGTGTGACTTATCTAGCCAATCTCAGCTAAGCAACACAGTTGAAATTTCAAATGTTCACAATTAAAACCCAGAAGCCACTTGCTGAATTCATCTGAATAACAAACATGTTCAGGGGCATCATGATCTGTCAGGGAAACAGAAGCCCAGTTCACCATACACGTTATTTTGTTGGGAACAATTCAGTTAGATCTATTAGCAGTACAGTTTTTTCAAACAGTGCACAGGGCTCAATTCTGTCCTCATCTATATCTGCGCAATATTTAGCCCATTATTTTTCTCTCCACAGACTCTCTTTAAGTGTCACTTGTTTTATCCTTATAATTATTTTACCCAGTCACAGTAGCAGTATCATGTTTTATACATCCCTTGTTTATCCATGAACACTCCTCAAATTTTAACTGAAGGATAATACTTGCTCGTGTTTGATTTTTTCCGCTTTACTCACCAGCATAATGCTAGGAAGAAACCCTGTCAATGCCTTCTTTTTTTTTGCCTTTTTTTTTTTTTTTTTTTTACCTTGGAACCAGGCAATCAGCTCTCTGAAGAGTGGTGGCATCCAGTTCAAAGAGAGATGCGATGTCATTTCCATGTGGCACAGAGACCAAAGTATACATAATCTTCTCCCCTGCTTGGCGTTTCTTCTTTGAAGCAGGAAGGTCGCCGTCTCTCTGCTGATTAGGCAGAAGGGTTATTTGCTTGCATCAGGGCCCATTATAAATTCTCCAATTACCTTGCAGACAAGTAATACAACTGAATTGTACTCTTCTTTTTTTACATTCTTGTAAGAATGTACCATGACTGGCTTTGGGGTGTGTAACACAAAGGATGCACTTTGCCCCAGGCACATGGGGTCTCAGAGAGTCATTATAACAACAGCAGGTCACAAGCTACAGAGAGACTGCAGTACTCTATACACGATTGCTTGACACCTACAACTTCAAAAAACCTGCGGTAGTTGCAGGCCCTTCACTCCCAACAAACGTAATTACACAGTGCTGGTTTAGAAAGGGCCAAAGTTAAAAGAAGAGAACTAATAAAAATTGGATTTCTTAAAGAGGGGAGGGGATTAAAAAAGTAAGCAATTTGCCTAATTCCACTGTTGTTTTATTTCAGTTTGCTCATTTTTTCTGCTCATACAGTCAGAATCACAGCAGCACACTTTCCAAGCAGCAAGAGCCAGAATATCTGCTCCACCAAGATCAACTTCTCATTGGAAGGGAGGGACACACAAAGCACCAGCGAGATTATATTAGAAATCTTAGCACAGGCTGATAATGCATTGGAGGTTGGATCCAACAGAGGTCTGAGTGTGTCCACTGAAACCGGAGAAGTTCGCTCCCTTCGAGGAGCCTAGCTTTCAAGTGACAGATTTACATTGCATTGGTGCCTCAAAAAAGGCATGCAAATCTAAGGTATCGCTCGTCCTCCCACCATCTGCTGAAGGTCCATGGGAATTTTGTGACCCAGCGCCACTAAGGAACCATCTTCATCTTTAGTTACCTACACAACTTTGTCTTCACAGATGCCAAATCCTACTTTCCCTAAGCATGTATCTTTGCTTGAAGGAGTAATTCACAGTCTGTGCCCGTAACCACGCAGCAACCAAGAGAATTACTGGCATAAGTAAAAGCTGCTCCTCTGGGGTGTTGAGTTACACATATTACAAAAGACTAATAACCAATTAAGAGACTGGCAGCCCAGGGCCCTTCACGTATACAAAATATATCATCGGGGGGAAAAGGAAAAGAGGAATGAAGAAAGCCAAAAGAGAAAAATCAAACACTGGAAACCTGAAATACTATTATAATGATTTATAGTGCACCGCTAGGGAAGAGATGTACAAAGCAATGTAAAGAGGCTAGACTGTACTCAGTTTGCATTAGTACCTTGATTAAAGCCAAACTGTAAGGGATAATCAAGGGCAAAGCTTTGATTATTCATATTGCCAATTGATTAAGCAACAAAATCAAGGATGAGTGAAACTATGTAAGAAATAGCTAGTTATAATCTCATTTCAAGGCACTTTTTGAATCCTTCCAAAACATCCATTTTTTCATTGTCAAGCCTAAAAAAGGCCAGCTTTCCATCTCATTACTTCTAGGAAAGATAGAACAGTAGGAAAAAAAACAGGAAGAAATCCTCTCAGAAATTTTTTTTAGGCTCATCTAGTGATTATTGTCGCTAGTTTTTGAGAGGACGGCTTGCTGAGACAAAGGGGAACCATCTCCTGTGTCTTGCACAAGAGTAAACTCTTATCTATGAAGCAGTCCTCATATCCTTCCATAACCCATGCCCAAAAATATTGCACATAAAAACTTAACCTGTATGCAAGGATTGAGAAAATAGCCAAAATTTTTGTGATTTTCATACACGTTTTGTTTTACAAACTCAGGATGAGACCCAAACTGGAAAGGCAGGTAAACTATAAGAGAATCCTCTTAAGAGCTTAATAGCTGTGAATCAGAGTCTAACATCAAATGAAAATCTACTTCCTAAATTTCCAAACAAAAATGGAAAACTGGAAAACTGAAAAAAAATTTAAAATTCAAGAGGTCTGTAAAGGGGTGAATGGCACAGGATAGTTTAGAACAGCATCCAGACTTTTTGATATTTCCCATAACTTATTTACATTCAAATCTAGTTAGGGTTTCCCAGAAACTACCCACTCTAATTTCCAAACTGAAAAGGCTGGTATACAAAGAGACAGGACACTTCATAATTTTATGCTTTTTTTCCCTGAGGATCTGGGGAAAATACAGACCAAAATATGAAACCATATTCTATACTGTGTTACGAAGCTTTTTTTTTCCTCACTCATGATATAATGTCTGATCATCTCCATTAAGCACGAGTATATATGCACATGTCCTCTATGACAGGAGGCAAAGCCAAAGGCAGGTCTCCTGTGCTTAAGTAGTTCGTGCTAACCACTAGCTCTGTGGAGAAGTTCATCCTGCAGTTTGGGGTTGACTCCACTCACTCACCAGTCTCCCCTGCAGTTTTATAGATGCTATTGAGCAACAGAGTTGGCCCATCAGGCCTAAATCCCACCACCAGGCTTGGGACCTGTCAAACCAGACCTGGCATATGAGCAAGAGCTGGTTTTCTAAAAAGAAAGTCCACTTCGGCGGAGGGCAAGACAGTGTCTGTAACACTGCTAACTGCAATGGAAAGCTTAGCTGAGCAAAATCAGACCTACACAACAGCTGTATAGTAGTTTCGGACTAGACTCAAGCACAAACCTCAGAACTCTCCTTATAATGTTATTTTAGGATATCAGACACACCTCACAACCCAACCTGGATTATGGGTGTTAAGCTCCAGTCAACGGAAAAAAATACGTAACAAGAAGTGACCCTGAACTTGACAGCTCTGAAAACAACTTACATATAAGGAATACATGAAAGAGAGAGCAATAGTCATCGCATATGAACATACACGGATTTATGTCTGAGTGCATGTGCACGTGCCTCTGTGTGTGAGAGAGAGAGAGAATGCACACACACTTGCATACAGAAAGTTTCTTATGATTAATTAAATTTAGTAAGCAGTCATCAGAATCTGCACTTAACCTAGCCATTATTGAATCAGCAGATGAGTCTATATGAGGACGTGGAAAGAAGTGAAAGTATTAGACTATTTCAAATTAATTAGACAGTATGATCAGCTCAGGAGAAGCACTGCATTCCTAGGCAGATGAAAACAAGATGACATTTGCTCAGGTAAGAAACTAGCATATGAGTAGATGCAGCCAGCAAAACCAGATTCAATGAAGAGAAGGGAGGAAAAGAACTGTAAAAGGTCTCAAATGTAGAGAGAAGAAAATTCAACTTAAAGCAGTATGAAGAAGAAGCCAATGAACAGTTTCAGAGATGTTGGTGATGTGGTCAGTGACAGCCAAGGAAAGCGCTCCCAAGACTTCTTTAAAAAAAAAAAAAAAAAGGCAGGTGAATTACATGCTAGGAGTATAGAGAAGTGCAAGAACTGTGGGTAAAACAATATTAGCAAATAGTAAATTCACTGAGGGGAAAAAAATAGTTTTGATTGTCCCAAACTACTGGCAAACTAACGACAGGCTGTCACAAGTCAAATCAGACACATATCCAAGGGGAAGAAGGTGGAATCCCCTCACTCTGTCGTGCGCTGGTTAAATCGCTCGCAAGGATGAGGATGAAGGAAACGCACATTCAGCTCCTCTTCTGCCTGGCAGGAGTTGGACCTACACCCTCCAAAAGAATTTGGACCCAGTCCAAATACCAGGTGGTACACAGAGCAGAGTTAGGCTGCTCTGCCTCACAAAACCTTAGCGTCCGCCTGACTGGAGGGCTGTTAGCCCTGCAGTCGCCAGCCCCACTCTGCAGCAGTAAAGCAAAGCACGCTACTCACATGCACAATGGGATTTTGCCAGGAGGGGGAACTGAAAATACCCCTACCATACAGCCAGCAGCCCCGGCACTCTTCCAGGAGGGACTCGTCTAGGAAAGCGAAGGCTGAGAGTTCAAAAAAGGAGTCCTAGCTAGTGAAAACAAACAGCCATCTTGGTGAGGAGTGGAAACACTGATCCAGGCTCGCAGCAAAGTCCGTAACTCCTGGGCTACCACTACTGATTTGCCGTGCATAATACCGATTTAAAAAGAAGCTTAACAAAAAAAAAAAAAACACAAAAACACAACAGACATAATATGGTGTTTGCAATTTGAAGGGCAAATTTAATTTAACTGGAGACAAATCCCATATTGTAATCAGAGACAAAATAATCAGATACAATCAGATTTGTCTTTCTTGAGGCTTGTAGCTCAGCAGAAAACCCTCCTTCACAGCTCTTAATATAATTTGCTAGTAATTGTGACCTATCCCAAATCCCCATTATTCACCTCAAGTGGGTATCATACCTAAAATGTGGGAGATTTACATGGAGTTTTGCTTATGGAAGGGCCTTCCTTTCAACTGCAAAAACATGACAGACCTGAAATACTTTTTCTTTTAGAAACCCAATCTACAATTCCAATTGGTAAAGACACTTCTTGTGGCACAGAGACAGCCAAGGATAATGCCCTGCTCCTGAATGAATACATTAAGCTGCGCTACAGATTTCAGCAGAAATTAAATTTAATAGCAGCCAGAGTTCTGGAAATGCCTGTTAAATCCAGTACAATGTGGTATCTCAATATGTTAACCCAGTTTAGGAGGCTCTTACAAAACCAGCATTTTCAGAGAGTGGTAATGTGAGCAGAACTCCATAGGTTAGATGATTTAAAAAATTCTATATGAAAAGAAAGTCGAGTAAATTAATGGCCAGCCTTGCTCCCGCACGTTACGAAGCCCTGGCGGACAGCGCAGCAGTTAGCCTCCTGTAACACCTTCGCTGTTGACTCATTTGTGAGTCATCGCATTTTTAGCAGAGACATCACGTTGCAACTCTGTTGTTAGGAGCCAGAGACATTCTGTAAGAAACAATGTATGCGTTTTCAGAGCTGATTCAGACCTGTGTGCAGCAGCAGAATAATAATAATGTGCCGGTATCCGTGTCTCCCCTTCACCCCCCAGCCTATCAAGTGGTCTGACTGCTGGCTTTATATAAGCAGAGACACTGCCATTTTAAAGCTGATGTTTTGGGGTTTTTTTCAAATGTTTTTCAGATTGTTTGTTGCCAGGTTAATTCCTAACCAAGCCTTTAAAAAAAACAATAAATTGCCCAAGCCTATTCTACTTCTTTAAACTGCAACACCTGTGTCCCACATTAAAAATTTTAATTAAACAAACCTAGTTGCTGGAAGGTAAAGTGAAAAAAAAAAAAAAAATTTACAGTGTTTATCAGGAAAAAAAAAAATCACCTGAGTTGGAAGCAAGAAAGAAAACTTTGAATTGCAGAGTTGTTTGGAATTCATAAATACAGATAAACAGAAGTCAAAGGAGATATGTCAACTTGTACCTAGAAGTCCATGGTAGAACTGTCCAACTTCTTTACAGGAAAAGTAAATGCATACCAGTCTCAATCCTAAGAAAAATCTCAACAACAAAAACCAGTTTGGTTTTTGTTAGGATTAGGATTAGCACTCTCTCATGAAAATGCAGACAAATGGAGTTAAGATACCTATCCAAAGACAGCCTTTAATACAAAGGCGCTAACAAATGCCAGGTTCCCAGCTGTTCTTGACATTTCCCCAATGTTTATAGCGTTCTTCTGGATGCTGTACATTTCTGTGATTAGAAATAATAGACTACTTCGCAGCATAAAATACACCAATTTTGCCTTTAACAGGAGCTGTAACACAGAGCACTGTGTTTTGTTGCACGATACACTACAATCTCCCAGACTTCAAGAGAAGAAGCAGCCTTTTTTTTGATAAGGCCTTTAAATCACAGAAAGGTCTTCCCATTTAAAAAAAAAATCTTCTGGAGTTTAGATGTGAGAAAAATATGTGTAAAGAATATTATTCAACTCACTGTAAGGCCAAATTTTACCAGAAATAAAAGCAGTGTTTCACAAGACAATTTGGCTGGATTCTCAAGAAGCAGCCCATAAATGAGCAATGAACTGCAGTCCAAACATAGCTTTAATGCTTGGGAACAAAAGTCCTAGTGACTTCCAGTAATATTTATGTTCTCCGGAGCCAAAACCCTTTCAGACTTTTAAGACACTTAAGGCAAGACAAAAAAGATGCACTTAGGCAGAACCTAGGTGCCTATGCCCACTACTGCACCACGGAAAATCCTGCTCCATTGCTGCTTCCTAAAATTCAGTTGCCTAAGCAACTGTGACCAGGACTTGTAAACCAGGCAGCGAACATGCACAAGGAGCCCTATCGCACATTTAGGAGTTAAGGGTTGGCACGAAATGCACAGATGGCTGTGCCGCCTTTAAAACCCAGACGACAGAGAAGGAGCTGGTAGCCTTTTATCCAACAGACTAGCAGAGAAAAGAAAAACACAGGCTGCAGGCTCAGTTTCTTCCTTCAGTTGAAAGGATTCGAGTATGCATCTCCCATTTCCCTGCTACTCAGACTTCAAATTTTGTTGGGGTAGGTCCACTTCCCCCTCCCCCTCCAGAGCAGATTTACTTCACGGGCAGTATTTCAAAATTAATTGCTTCAAAAGATGAAAAAGAAGATGCCTTTGCAGTGAATCAGTTAGGCAGTCACCTGGCAGAAGAAACACTAGATGAAAACCACGGAGCAAAGAAAGCGTGTGTGCTCTAGGTTACGTGCATATTGGATACAAGACTGACATAGCTGGTCCTTAAAGAACTCCATATATTGTAAGATTTTTGTACTTTTGAGCGATAATTCAAAACACTGCATCATTGTAACATAAAAGAAATTCCTGCACAGGGATGTGAAGCTTTTCTGCTCAGTTGCTCAAGGCCAGAATGAAGGCTTAAAATAGCCATTGCTGACTCATGCTATTTCCAACAAGACTATAAAGGGGTGAAGGATCCAAATGGATTTCTACCACACTAAAAGTGCCTGTAGGCTTGGATTTACATGGAGGTGTTAGCAAACCTTGTTAGGAGTTCTTTCACAGAACATTTTTCACAAGAAAGTGCTGACTGCGTAAACTAAAATTTCCACAGACACATCAGTTTTGATCGTCAATCACTTTTGATTAAATTTTCACTGGAAGTATTCGTCTAAGCTGATTTATCTGATCTGGATTTTTGGTTGAAAACAATACCCAGAAGGATTAAGCCAAACTGTTAGAGAAGTCACCTTTAACATTCATGTTCAGATTAGTCCTGTACCTTCTTCATTATCCAGTCCAGGGAATATTTAACTATTTAGATGAACTGGAATTGCTACAACTTGAAAACCTATACTATATCTAAATTAGTACAGTGTGGTACAATAGGATTGGATCCTTGGTGACGAGGACCTTACATCTACCCTACACACGTTTTCATAGGTCTTACTTCAGACTAGCTGTAGTCTAGTTTTCTGGGCTGGGCACCCATGAAAGGTTGGAGCACAGTGGATACATTACAGAGGTGTGTGCATCTTTTTACTTTCATCCAACAGAATACAAGTTTACATGCTCTGAGATTGCTCTGCAAAGTGAATTGGAGTGTCTTAAATAGGGAATAATCAGGAGATTTGATTCAGAAGTGCCATCATGATTGAACTACAATGTCAACGCAGATGCACGTCTACGAGACGAGCTCTACTGTTCACAGAGCAAAAGCATGAACCCAAGCATTTTCAAGCAAGCACCCTACTCACTGAGGTATTCTGGAACTTATCTCGATTTCCATTCAAAAGCTCCAAGGGCTTCAAGTGTCATTCCAATCCAAAAGAGAAACAACTGGTGGAACTTCCATATTTTCATCAGAGAGAATTCTTGTTTCTCTGGACAGCTTAGCTCTTATTGCTATATTACCATTAATACCAGGTACCAGGGAAGATAGAAAACCGATGTTGCCAACTCCTACAAAAGTCTCCATTTTTATTAAAATTGCAGTCCTGAAGGCATGTAATTATTTAAGAATCTTGGGCTTCATTTCATGAAAAATAAAAAATTCTTCCCCATGCAGAAAAAAACTTGAAAATGTGTCCTTTAAAAGAACAAAAGCCAGAAGGCAAACAGAAAGAAATTAAATTGAATTTTTTCGAAGATCTCGGCGTTTTCAAGGCAACCTCATGAATTTGATGGAGGAATGATTCTTTTTTGGACTACTTGTTGTTTCAGTAACAATAAGATTCCCCCAGGGTTTTAACTCCACTTCCTTCACATGTTATAAACAACATGTCCGGCCTTGCCTCGTTAGTTAGAATCAGCTAGCATGCTCTTGACATTGTGCAAGGCAAAGGCTGTTGCCTCCTAGGCAAAGGGCATAAGGCCTTTGTCCAACCCATCCACACTGCACCAAAGACAACTTGGATCCTTGCGAAGATGTCATGCTAGAGTTGCCTGAAGTGTGGCAGGGCTCAGACTAAGCCTGTGCCTGAGTTATCTGCTTGCACGTATTCAATACAGGCAATAAAAAGAGTCTCAGCATGTTCTTAGATTTAGAGCCACACGTGACTGACAAACATGCCCCAAGGGGGCTTGTCTCCACTCGCAGAGCCTCTGAATTGGTACTGGCACATAAGTAACCAGACTTGCTTGTTCCTGGTTTTCTTGCTAAAGAGGGTGGTGGGTTTTGCCATGAAGTAATACATCTGATTTGAGAAGAATTAATACATTTCGTATCTGCAGTCACAAAGCAGGACAGCTTCCAACTAATGCCAATTTGATGCAGAATTCGAATGAGATTCCTATCATTTGCCTTACGCAAGGGAAAACTTTCTCTAACACCGGTTCTGAGTTGCACCCTAGCTTACACAGGATACGGAAAACAATCCCAGCAGCCGTGACATGTAAGTAAAAGGAAAGCTATGAAGGACTTTCATATGTTGGGCTGTATTGGGTTAAGGATACAGTACTTCCCAGATTATATGCAACATATAAATTCCACTTACCAAAGCTTTTCCTTCGTTATTACCTTCTGGATAGTGTGGGTTAAGCTGGAAAAGAAAAGAAGTCAAATACTATCTTGATAGCTTTTAGACATTTCAGAACTCGGGGGAGAGGGGTTCAGTTCTCTATTATGCATCCACCCTGCAAAAGGACAGTGGAGTATTTAGAAGCAGTATGAGAACGAGAATATAAGAATTACTGATTCCATTTCTGACTGACTTAAGTGAGTATGTCCTCACTTCAAAAAAGTGCATCTTGCAATCAAGCTTTTTAACTCAGGAAAGGAATCTCAAATAACCAAAACCAAGAAGGATGATGGAGAAAGCATAGATAGTTACTAATCTAAACACAGCAAGTTACAGTCACCCACACATATAAACACGCAACTACTTCCAGGACTGACCTTGAGCAGATACATTGAGATAAAAACTAACGTGCTTCATGTCTACTGAGATTTTACAGGAAGACAGTGAACTCAGAATAAACAAATCTTTGAAACAGGAATGGCAATGCCACTACAGACAAGTGTTTAATTACCCTGTGATTCTGTTTAACCATTATTAATGGGCATAATATTTTCTATGTCATACCAGGATTATCAAGCATTAATTAATAACTAAAGTAGTATGACAAGCTTGGATGAAAGACACTATATAATAATAAGTGTAAAGTATAACTATTTAACAGTGTTTAATATGATTTTACTTTTGACAAGGGAAATACGTAGAGTAGAAGATGAGGGATTATGTAGACAGATACATACTCAAATAAACACATATACACCCACTCACTGGCTGCACATGAATCCTTTCAGGATTTGACTTACATAATGAAACAATTTTGCCTCAATATTTACCATATTCCCTGACACAGGATATGTCTTCAAAGCGTTGAAAATGCTGAAGTGAAATTATTAGTTATATAAGGTAATTTAGTTTTTAAGCAACGACAGCGTGTATACATCTCACAGACAAGTACAGTAATTTTCTTGGCTTGAATTTGGCATTACCAGTGTGGAAGAGCCAGAAGTGAATTGCACAGGGCAAGCTGAACAAATCCCAGTAAACCTTTCAATATCACGTCATCATACATCTAACATTACACAGACAACTACTGTGAGGAGTTTTTACTACATTTATAAGGTTTTTATTAATACTGTATCATTTATATCCCTTTAACCAAAAAAGCCAGCTCCTCACCACATCATGAGCCTGAAGAAAGGAGAAAAACTTTTAGATATTCCTAAAATTGCCGAAAATACTTTCCCTCTGCGTCAAGACTTGATGTGCTAATACAGAACTGACCAAAGGTTTATTCTGTCTTCATTTCAGTATTTGCATTAGCCACTGTGCTACCCTCACAAATCTAATTTAGAGAGCCTGCTTTTCTCCCTGCATTGACACCTATCCCAAATCTTGCATTTTGCTCCTCCATGACATTCTCACACAGTCTCCTAGCTCCAGCTCCCACCTACTTCTGTTATACAGCAACAGGAGTGGGTGATGAACACTGCACAACAGACAACTAGAAGATATACATATATACATACATGTATGTATACATATATATGTAACTGTTTTCATACAGTTTTGGTTTCTTCGTAAGTTCTCACACGTCTTTCAGCATTACCTTCGTTCACCTGACACCTTAGAATAATTCTAGTTGCCCATTCTAACAGCCAAGCTCAGCTCTCTACCTTTGGTCCTCCATCAAGAACTGAGAAAATGATCAGGCAGTGCTCCTTAGTCACAGCCACACACAGTGGCCTTTCAGCACAGGTGCAGAGAAGGCACGGAAAGGCTAAATTCGATCCTACCTTCAGATTCTGCTGGTTTTAAGTAAGCGAGAAAAGGTCTGGGTCATCTCAGGTTTGTCACTAGACTCAGCGCAGAGAACCGTGCACTGAGGACTAGATCTTCAAACGGAATAAATCTATGATGTTGCATTGAAGGGCCCAAGTGAATACAGTTGTCTACCCAGTATGAATCGGGCCTTGAATTCTGCTATTCTTCAGCTGTTTGCTTTCAACATAATGATGCTTTAAAAAAAAATATAGCAACAACAGGAGAAACTAGGAAAATCTCTCCCCCACGCCACTTCTTGCCTACTTTAAAAATAACTAAAGAGATTGTCCTCAAATTTCCAAAATAGTTCACCTGTGGACGGAGGCTGAGGGAGACAGAAGGCTCAAATGAAAAATAAAGTCCAGCCTTAATGACGGTTTTTCTTGCCCCACTGCAACAGAAATAATAGAACTAAAAAGATGTTGTTTAGAGAAAGTTTTGAGATGCTGATGTTAAACACTAACCACGATGGAATGCAGTTTTAGAGCTGATGTTCATGGTCCCATTTTTAGCTGTGCTGAGCAGCTGCCACTTTCATTTTCATTTCAGCTGAGGTTGTTGGTGCTGAGCATCTCTGAAAATCAGACTATTAGCTATTATCCCATACAATACTCTCCAGGTAATGGGGCATAAATCATGGAGTGTTGTATGTCATATTACACCTGTTCTGAGTCCTTTTCCAATATCCAAGTACAGCAGAATGAGCTAAGGACACAGTGAGTCTTAAGACTCCAAAATCTATTGCTTTTTCTGATTTACGTGAGATCACCTCCATGTTCTTCAATAAGCCTCCAAAACAAAAGAAACCTTGAAAATAACAACATTAATAATTTTTCCTCTTGTTGCTGACAAAATCAAGTAAAATTCTTTGGAGGTGTTTAGAAAGTAAGAACACTATGCTAAAATGGGCCTCATTTAAGCTCAACCATCTTCAAGCTTTTTTGTGTCATTGGATGTGTTGAAGTTGCAATGTTACGGAAGTGTAGCTGAAATACAGTACCATACATTTCTGTAAAATGCCGCTGGCAGGTGCACGCAGTCAACACACAGTAAGAACACGATGCATTGCAAACTGCAAAGCTCAAGCAAGTGTGATTGTATAAATCATTATTGTAATAGCTTCATTATATGTTTTTTTTTTTAAGAGTATGTCTCCAACAGCTTCTTTTCCAATGCAGAATAATCCAGAAATCCTAATCCTCCGCTGTTTGTTTTTCAACAAACTTAGGTACAGCCATTTTTCACCTTTCCATGGATAGGAGAGAAAAAGGTATCATAAAATGAGAGTTCAGCTTCCCCATGGCTGAAAACTAAATATTATCAAAGACCTTGAAACTCATTTCATGTTATGGCATGCTCATGAGACTCACTATAATATCCCAACACTTGCCCATTACGTAAGGCCACGTAACCTGACCACCTGAGTAAATGGCAATCGCTATATGGTGGTAAGGGAGGTGCAATCTACATCAAGTAACACAGACTCCATGAGTAGAGAATAACTAGGGAAGGGCAGAGGAGAATTCACATCAGTGAAGCGGTGAACTGGCCACCTGATAATAGTTGTGCTCGTCCTTCACTCCGCTGCCATGTAGAAGGCCAGCTCTATCGTGGGGATTTTGCAGCTGGGCAAGGCTAAGGTAATCAGCTCTCACAGCTCCAACGACAACGATTTATGACACCACAAACACTTCATCTTTTCCAGTTGCTTAGACATAAGAACCCAGACCCAACTCTACACATCCTCTAGCCTGCATAAAATCTCCTGAACTCCAGACAATGGGGCTACCGCATCAGCTTTTCTTTCACATCACAGCATCATGGAAGACATTGCGGTTTCACACACACAGGCTAACAGTGCACACTGACTTAGGTGCTGCATGAGCTTTTCCTTATGCTAAGGCCCTATCAACAGGTAATATCACTGTAACTGCAAATGCAACTTGCAGAATATAGTTCACAGGAAGTATCTGGGACCTCAACTTGTCTTGGACTCAACCTACTGGAGGGGACAGAGCTTGGAAGCAGCCTAGCAAACTTGTCAGCAGACAAGGACAGTCACCGCCATGAGAAGGCCACCACCACCACCACACAAGATCATGTTTTTAAACACTAAAATCATTGATTATTTTGGCATTTATAGAAAGATTTGCAACTACAGAGAAGATAATACATTCTTTAAACCTAAACAGAACTTGCATTTACTTGCCCACTTTTCTAAGAAGCCAAATTCCCAACTCACGATCTACACAGGGTATCTGCAAGAACCTGAAGGTCAGGGTTGGCATTGCAGGTGGTCCTCCTGGGTGTATAAAAATTGATGTCTCTCAGATAGATTTCATGTTCCGCCTTTGTACATGGTGGCATGTAAAAGGAGTAGACGTATGAATGCATACGTATACCAATATACTCTTACTGTGGCAGCACCAGAAGGTCCCCAGTAGAGAGTATGTCTGACAAACACATAATAGAAGCCATCTCAGGTGGAAAACTGAGGTATCAACAAAGTCTTTAACCATTTCTGGTTAAAATTATTTGGAAGGGCAAGGAATCTCATTCCTGAATTTTTACCTAATGCCCTCATAATGCAATCATCCTGCTGTAGAGTCTGCATAGTGGGAAGACAACTTTCACCTGTGTGTGTTTGTGTGTTACTTCTGGTATTTGGTGCTCAGAGAATGCAAGTGCCCTTCTAACCCTGAGAGTTATCCTGTTAGATTGAATGTCAGAAGCTCCAGGCTGTCATCTCTACTGATGACATCTCTACTGATTAAAGCTAGTCAAAGTTGTATCTTAAAGTTTTCAATACCTAAGACTTTAACACTACATAATCTCCTGAAGTTCTACTATTGAGCAGAACAACTTCTCACTAATAAATTATTCCTGGCTTTAATTTATTTTTGCATCTTCATGTAGTAAGATATGCTTTACAATCCAACAACTGAATTATAAACCTCAGTCTATACTGTGGACAGTTTGACATTTCACCTTTATACTGAATGCTGCTTTCCTAGACAGAGGAATGCACAGAAAGTGCTATTTTTGGACACTTTAATTAAGAAGGAGGGAGAGCAGTTTGAGGAAAGAAACACCCATGCTGATTTTAATCAAATTTTGTTGACTAGGTAAAGGATATTTAAAACATCTCGTCAGGGAAAAAATTAGATCACCAAATTTCAGCTAAATGAGCATTTGAACGACTT